AAGAAACGCTCGTTTAAAACGCGCATAGCGGTCCAAGTTTATCTGAAAGCTAACTAGTTTTTCTTATCGCCGATGACGTTTAAGGCAAAGTTTAGAACAATGAAGACTTAAAATTTACACTAGCAAATTATTCGTCGATAAAAGTTAGATTATAAAATTAGCTTGCAAAAGTATGAATATCTGTTTAAATATAAAAATGGTTAAAAAAAAGGTTTTAAGTATTTAAAATGTATTCAAGCTACATATTGATTACAATAATAAAGATGGTGGAATTTTAGCGTTTTTAATGTGGTTTTTTATACTTTAACATCAAATTAGAGTATTTTCCTCAAGTTTTCAGACCCATGCTTTTATACAATTCTAAATCAGAATAATGTCTTCTATCATAATCAATCATAAAAACAAGGGGAGTCAAGTAGCGCCATATAATAATAATAGTAATAATAATTAGAGATTAAAGTGCCATTATTTACAGCAATTACAATTATAATGAAATAATTCAGAAGCACTGAGAAAGTTTACTATGATTTCTTGAAGGCATCTACAAAAAAGTTTGTATTTTAGTCTTTTTTTGAATGTTTCTAAAGTGGCTGAGTTATGTGTTTTTATAGACAAGTCATTCCATATTCGAGGTGCATTCATGGAAAAAGGCTTTGGTCGTAGGGAAGTTTTTGATAGGCCACAGGTAAGTTGACAACTGTCTGATGATCTTGTGCCTTAGTTTGAAATTTGGGTTTCTAAAAGTTCGAGTAGATATGCAGAAGATTTGGTATTTAAAGTTTTTTATGTAATAACTGATATTTTATAAACTATATATTAATATATAATATTGCAAGCGTTTCAACGAGATTGTTGCAAATTTTGGCTGGAACTCTTGGCCAGCAGAAGTTAGACAGTATGGCTCAAAATAAGGTTTTGAGTTTTTCAAAAAACACATATCAGATATCATACTGTTTTTGTGAGAAATTTAAAAGTGTTGCTACATTGACTGATTTATACCTGCCCTAACAAAAACCTCAGTTGATGTAGCAGTATCTCCTAAGCATGTTCTGCCTAACCAGTCGATGAAGCGACGCTCCCTACATGTTCTCATTTTATCAATATAATGTGTGGTGCAGTAGTCTTTTTAATGTCAAAATATGTTTTAACCTTTGTTAAAGTTATAAGATAAATGATAGATGATATCAAGATCGTTAGAAAGATGATACCAAAATCATTTATCTAACCCTTTATTAGATAGATAGGGTAATCTGAGTTTATTTTTAACTCTGACTTCCTAAAAAAATCCAAAAACTATGGTTGGACATCTTTATATGCATCTTTATATGCTTTCTAACAAAACTAAATTAGTTGAAAAATTCTGAGAAGGTCAAAGGAGTCCTATTTTGAAACATAAACACACAGAGACTATTCTAGGAAATTAATTTAGGCAGCAGTACCCCCTTCTCTAATCTCAGCAATATTTAGGGGAAACATTGGCAAATTTTTTGTTTTTGCAAAAAGAACAATATTTGCCGTAAAAAAAAAAGTCCTCAATTTTTAATTTGAGTAGCGCCCAAATACGATCGGTTTTGTCGAAAAAAAGTCTTAAATAGCCTTTTCCACATTACCCCAATTGTCTTAGGTTATGTAAATTTCAAATATAGATGTTTAGCAAAACTAAAGCTTTTATATATATATATATATATATATATATATATATATATATATATATATATATATATATATATATATATATATATATATATATATATATATATATATATATATATATATATATATATATATATATATGTATATATATATATATATATATATATTGTATAAGACTGAAATAATCTATCTTTGTATGGAATACTGTTGCCATATCTGGAAGATCTGCTATATATATATATATATATATATATATATATATATATATATATATATATATATATATATATATATATATATATATATATATATATATATATATATATATATATATATATATATATATATATATATATATATATATATGTATATATATATATATATATATATATATTGTATAAGACTGAAATAATCTATCTTTGTATGGAATACTGTTGCCATATCTGGAAGATCTGCTCCAGATATGGCAACAGTATTCCATACGATGGATTTAATTTATGGATATAAAGAATAGAATCTGGTGTATGAAAATGTCAAGCACAATAAAGAGATGCAACCTTAGCAGATGTTAACTTTGCAATGGATATGAAATATGGTTTCCAAGAAATATTGACAGTAAGAGTTAATCCCAGAAGACGAAGGGTAGGTGACTCATGGAGTACATTACCATTCAAAAATGTAAGAAGATCTAGACTGTTGCAATAACAATTAGCTGGAAAAAAAATTAGTTTTATCTGAGCAAAAATTCAGCAGCCTCATACTGTAGCAGAAGTTAGATCTTTTTCAAGCTGAAATGCCCCCTCCAAGCAATCAGACAGTATTGGGTTCTTATCAAGACAAGAATCAATGTTATATCATTAACTTGAAATACCACCTTAGATGTGAACATTTCCGTGAGATCAATAATGTAAATTAAAAAAAGTATAGGGTCAAAGATAGAACCTTGGTTTGGTTAAGAGGAGAACCTTGAGGAACCTCTGTAGTTATAGGAAGTGAAGAAGAGTGCTATTCATAAAGGACAACTTTTATACCAAGTTTGGTAAGAAAGATTTCATAGTCTTAAAGATGATACCTGATACACTGTAAAAAGAGAGTATATGGAGAAGACCAGCATGCCTATGTATTTTGAGAAGCAGTCTATGGAGAAGACCAGCATCAAGGTCTTTAGAAATGTTAAGAGCAATAGCCTTAACCTCTCCACATCTATTTAATGTATGATAAAACCTATCAGTCATTACAGTGAGAAAATCAGCGGTAGAATGAGAAGATTGAAATCCATAGATTAAAAAGTTATTAAAATTCAAGATGAGAAATCAAGTGATTAAGTGAATAAAATCCTTACTTATGGTAAGAAGAAGACTAATGGGGTGGTAGTTAGACAAGTCAGATCGCTCTCCAGAAATTTTAAAAATAGGGATAACAGATGCTGCTTTCCAGCAGGCTGGAAAACAAGGCTCTAATAAGCACTTGTTAAATAGTTTTAAAAGTATAGACAACAGCTCTGGAGAACAATTCTGCAAAACTATAACTGATATGCTGTCTGGATCACAAGCTGTAGAAGAGTAAAGAAATCACTTTAGATACAGAAGCTGGAGTGATACGGATGTCGAGCAACGGATCAACCAGTTTGTTGGCTATATCAGGTAAGATGTGATTATTGGAATTAAGAGATAATAATAAAGGTTGTCAAAAAGTTCTTAGCAAACAATAAGGTTGTCAAAAAGTTCTTAGCAAAAGGTGATGTAACAAAATTTGAGCAATGCAAGAGAGGAGGACTAACAGGTTTTCCCTTGTTATAGACACTGTTTAAGATTCTCCAGAAGTCTGAGAATAGCAGGCTTTAGCGTTAAACAAAACCTTTTTTACAATGGTTTCTAGCACTAGTAAATAGGCGTCTGTTATCTGGAGAATTGTTTTTGTGATAGATATATATGGAAAATATATTGGAAGCGATGGTTAAGATTAAAAACTGCAACAGAACAATGAGAGGGACACCACGGAGAAGAGTGAGGCATGACTAAGAATCCTTGAAAGGGAATAAAAGATTCTATGCCAGCTTGAATCCAAGAAGTTACAGAAAAAGCACATTTGTCAGCAGGTAAATGAAAAGTTTCTATCCAAGGCACATCACAAAGAAAATCACAGAAAGAGTTCCAGTCAGCTTTAAGGTAGTTGTTTATCTAGTTGTATAAAGTACGATGATAGGGGAATTCTGATGATGAAGAAGAATGAGATAATAGTTTTAGAGAGATCAATACGCGATCAGAAGGACCTTAGGGTAAATGTGGATAAATTGAGCACTTACTAGGATCAGAAACAAGATATAAGTCAAGTAGAACAAGTGAATGATTTGGATTATCTGGAAAGCGAGTTGGAAAATTTTTTGTGATTGATTATTTGTGTTAGAGATTGAGAAAGACCAAAATTATTATCCTTAATGCCTGCAGAGTCACAAGCACTAGAATTAAGAAACAGACTTTAGCCATTTACTATTACTTAATTTTTAAAAATTAAAAGAAGATAACCATCAACACTAAGATCACAAGATGAGACATCTAAACTCAAATTATTCTCACAAAGAGCAAGTAGGTTTGGTTAATTTTGAAAGAGAAAAGGCTCAACAAAAGAAAAGTTACTTTAAAGACCACAAATATTAGTGAATGATAGATTTAGGGAACTTGGTGCTAATGATGGTTATGGAATCAGCCTTTTTGAGAGCTATGATAGTGTTTGGAAAAACTGACTACCAGGCAGCCTTATAACCATATAACAGAGTTTTAGAGCTGTACCCTCATTAAGAGATACTAGAATGAGTTGCCTAGTCATAAAAACAGAGGTACAAGCTTAACCCATGCAATGAGTCAAGACGATCCAGGATTCAAAATCCTAAACTGGAATCAATTTTATTATAAATACATCTATGTCAGCCTAGTAAATGAAAAAGGAGTCCAAGCTAATCAACAGTTAGAATATGTTTACCTCTCTAAAGTTCCAACATTGTTTGTTCTTTCCAACATGTTTTCTTGAGTCATACATTTTTCAGAATTTCAAAACTATTTAACAACAACCTTTTATTCAACAGCAACCGTTACCTTTTTAAGTTTTCTGTCAATTGTTTCCTTGTACTTCAACTCTCTTTGTTTTCTGTTATTTTCCAATTTAAATAGTGGTGGCTATTTAAAATATGGAAATAAAAAAATTTGTTGTGTTACTATTTTTTTGTTATATTATAAAAAATGCCTTCTTTTTGTTTCACTATTTGTGATTTTTATACAATTTTTTTGTATGAATGTTTCCATTAGTTTCAATTTTTTTTTTAAACATTTTTTCTTAAAAATTAATTTTAGCATGCAATTGATAAGCTTATTGAAAATTGGGATGAGGAAGTTTTGATAGGAAAAGCTATTAATGATAATGTAAGTGATAAATGAGTATACTTGATTTTATGTATTTGAAGATAATAATTTTAGTATGATAATATATGTATTTTTTAATTATTTGGTTTCTAAAAACATTTACCATCAGCTTAGTGTGTAAGTCATAGTTACCTAAACATCAAGCTAGTAGCTTGATAGTAACATTTTTTTCGGTATACAGGCCTATATTCTTGCAATAAAGATTACTAATTTCAATGATTAACTCTTTGATGTTCCTTATATATATGCAATATATAGGGTATTGATATTGTGGTAGATATGTAAATCAGAACCATTAAATCTGATTTCCATCATATCTCTGCTAGTACTGCCCTTAACTTTTTCTTAGCACAGTGGCCTGATTTTGTTTAGCCTAGTTCCTCATCATGGTTTCTTTATTAGGGTTCTTTTTTTTGAGTTAAAATATTAAGAGAAGGTTGTAACAACAGCTTTAAAATAAAATAAAAAAATGTTGTCTTCTTAACTATAAGTGCTCCCTCATTTTTGGTGTGGCAAAAAATATGAATTTAAATTTAAATATGAATGGCAAATTTAAAAAAATATGAATACTCTATCCAGTCAATTTTTCGTTTATATTTTAAATAGATTTTTAAAAATTTTTTAAATCATAAGTTATTTGTTTTGTCAACTTAGACTTTAGCTAAGGCTTTGCTTTGCTACTTAGACATTTTTTGTTAGATCTAGCCAGGGTTTAATGCCGTTTCCACAAGACGAAAAAATCGCGCGAAAGGTAACTTGGCTAAGCAATGTGGAAAAAGTTATAACCAACATAAGACTTAAAATACAAAAAGAGAGATCTGATCATGGTAAAAGATTATTACTAATAGATTTTGTGTTTGAAACTTCTTATTTTTCTTCAGAGAGTATTTTGACAATAGAGGCACTGACTGATGGTCATTTGAATATTATATAGAAATTAGTTTTTACTAATTATTTATATAGTGAAAGATTAATTTGTTCAATTCCTTAATACAAAAAAATTCAACATTGCTGATGCTTTAAGTATTTGTTTGTTTGTTATTTTTTGAAAGCTAGTAATTAAAGTTTGTCTTTTGCACCATTTACGGTTAATAGCTGAATCTTGTGGTAGCATATATTAATAAAGTGTTTGCAGTTTTTATATTAGCCAGCACACCTTTTAGAAAAATAATAGACAGCTTCTATTTAATGAAAATTTTTTAATTATAAAGTTGATTGTTTACTTTATCAATTTTAGCTTCAAATCACATCATTAAAAAAAATAATAAAAAGAAAAATTTTAAAGTCAATTGTGAATAAAATAAAACCATTAAATAAGTTTTATTATAATTTTTGATACTCTTCTTGTGGTTAATTTCTAAAACTTCACTCACTTCAACATTTCACCCACTCCAACTCTTCACCCACTCCAACTCTTCACTCACCCCAACTTTCCACCCAAAATAGGGGTTTATAAAGTCTCTAAGGATGACTAATATAAAATTGTTTTTTATATAACTGAGTAACATATTATAACGGCATATTATATACAAGTCATCAAATAAACTAGAAAAATAATGCAATAATACAATGTACAATAGTACAATGTAATAATTAAAACAAAGCAAAAATCACAATTCTAAAGGAGTTTAGTGGTGATGACCTGTTCTGAAAGGTGTGATCTTATTTTTGTACATAAGTTTGCACACACTAAAGATTCTTTTTTGAACATTCATAGATGTGGGCTTATTTGTTATTAATGCATCACAAAACTTTTGGTCTTTTTTTTTTTTTATAAAAAATAATAAGAAACACCAATCTCCTATTCTATCTAAGTCAAACAAAATTTTATTATATAGGTGCTAAGATATACAATAATTTCCCAAATATGAATCCAAATATTATTATAAATTCAATTAATGAAAGCAGTTTTAAAGTTTTGTTAAAGATTTTTTATAAATAAAATTGTTTTGTATACTTTAATAATAATATTTTGTATTTTTTTAAATTTTTTTCTCCCTATTACTACAGGACCCACATAGATAGCAGTTTTTAACTGAAGTGTATATATATATATTTATGATGTATTTTCTTATAAATATTTTATAAAAATAATAATAGTTTATAAAAAATTTAATTTTAGTCTTTAACTGCCTGTCCATAAGACACTGCTGGTGATTCATTTTTCTTTAGCAATACATTAATTTCTTTTTATAGAGTAAAAATTATTGGTAGTTGCTTCAATAATTTTAACGTAATTTGCACCAAAAAGTCAGATGCCAACATGCCTGCAAAAATTATTGTAACTCTGGATAATTTTATTGTAGAATTCTTACGGCTGGTTAATAAATTCATGACATCTGTATTCCAACATTCATCCATTATAATCCTCAATTTAAAGTTGCCTTAATTTCTAATAAAGTTTCTTGAGTTGCTCTTTTTATTTTTATCAATGTCAAACATTGTATTTCATTTCATTGTATTGTATTTCAGCATGTCTTTAAATCAAGATGAAGCTTAATTTCTTTTTTAAAAAGAGCCTTGACTGATTGAAAAATATGATTTCAAACAGTTGACATTTTTATATATTTTATCAACTTGTGTGAGTTTTTCACTAAATTATTGTAATCAATCAGTAGTCAATATTATCTTCACATTCATCATTTGTTACTTAAAAATTGGTGTTTTGTCAATAATAAAATCATTTTTCTTATTATCATCAACACAGATGCAGATTTAGTCTTAAGTATCAATTTTTTTTAAAGTCTGCAACATACTCTGAAACGTAGTCTGTGATTAATATTAAGTTGATCAACTGCATTTGTTTTTAGAATATACTTTTTGTTAACTGGTCCTCAATCTTTTTTAGATTTTTGTGTCTCTTTTTTCATTGATATTCAAAAAACACTTTGATGTTGCTTCATTATTTCAACAATATTGAGTTCATGACATGAATTAAAAATCAAATAAACCTGGTTTTATACATTACATGGTCAGTTTTATCATGTATAATCTAAAATGTCTTCGTTCTTTTAAAGTAGTAACCCACATCCACAGTCATGCTAAACTTTACTCCTTTGACTACTTTTAATTTTATGGTGTCATGTTATATGGTGTTATATGTTATATGGTTATATATGTTATATGGTCATGTTATATGGTGTTATATGGTTATATAGTGTCATATTATATCATATTTTATAGTGTTTGTTTTTATTACACCTGCTTTAATTACATCTGCTTTTCATCTTATAGCTTTTGACTAGCTAATGTATTTAGTTCTAGTAATGGCTTAAGCAAAAAGCTATCAGTAGCCAAATCACAGGCAATATCTTTAAGAGTCTTTTGCACTAAAAAGTTGCCATTAGTCTCATTTCTCTCTTCTCACTAGCTCTCTCTAAAACGTCTGCCCATAAGCAATCTTAACCATTGTTCAAAGTTGTCTATTCCACTTGCCTCTTGACAACATCTGGTAAATCCTATTTGTCTGTACTGGTTCAGACGATTAATTTCTGACCTCTTCGTCTGTACTAGTACAGACATACAAATTTCTAGTAAAGCCTCTTTGTCTATAGTGGCCTTCTTGGCCTTGAGGAGGTAAATTAGCATAACAAAAAAAAAAAAAAAAAGAAAAGTTTATCAGTGTTGTATCTTCTAAGATTCTCTGCAGCTAGTTTAACAGGTCTTTTAAAATAATTACTTTTGTTGCTTTATATAAACTGAAACCATATTCCATGACTTTTTAAGGTAGCCGTAGAAATTACTGAGCATTTCATTTTACATGATCCAATCTGTCTAAAAATCATATACAATGTTCTAAATATAGCTTATTAAAGTTCTGAAGTTATTTTATTACATTTGTTGTTGAATAATTCTTAATCATCTTTCTGATACGGCTTTATAATAATTTGCAGACAATTTTTTAATAATTAATTTTTGCATTTTGTACAACATTATTGATTGGTATTTTATTACAATTCAACATTTAAAAGGTAATACTTAGCCATAGTTATGGATGCTAATGTCATTTTAAGATTTAATAAATGAATATTAAAATAAATATAAAACAAAAGTTTCATTTTATTACTTAAATATGCCAAATGAAATGCATCTTTTTAATGGACGGGTTAGGACAGCGAATATATGGTCATAAACTGTTTTTAACATGTAAGGAAGCCAAAAAACATGATTTTATGGACGTAGACAAATGTATTCAAGCTACATATTGATTACAAGTTAGTTGCTATGGTACCAAATTTTACATAGCAACAGCTTATTTTTACATCAACGTTATTTTAACAGTTTTTTTATTTGTACTAGGTACACTAGATTAAATGCGTGTGTTAAAATGAGATTCACACTTTTTATGGAAGTCATAATTTTTATTGGTTGCTATGGATACCTAGTTTTTAAAATTATTTTAAAAACTAGGTATCCATAACAAGAGTATTGATTGGTATTTTATTACATTTTAACATTTAAAAGATACTACTTAGCCGCAGTTATATATGCTAATGTCATTTTAAGCTGTAATAAATGAATATAGCTATTTTACTGGGTTGTGGGTTGACTAAACAGGACTACCAAACACTAAGAAATGAAGCCATGACTGTTGGATCCAATATTTATCCAACTTAGAATTCTCTAAGAGATGAAAAAAAAAACTGTATGCCACCAGAAACTGAAATTGTAGTGTCAGACTATTCAGCTGAAGTAAGTCTTCAAGCTCTTTTACATCATACAGCTATTTGTTTGTGCCTGTTGCAAGAAGAAGTAATAAATTCATTTGATTTATCATCTTTTAAATGGCTTACATTGCGACACAAAATTGGATTTGATGGTAGTAATGGGTAGTCCATATACAAGCAGACTACAACTGGCGTAAGACACCTTGAAAGCGAACAAAGTATATTTCTCACATGCCTTGTTCCACTTGAACTATCTGTAAACAAAAAATTTGGTACAACCATCAGCCATCTTCAACATTGAACTGTCGTCCACTGAGTTTTAAGTTTATTAAAGAAACAACAGGTATATTAATAGAAGAAGCGTCTTTTATTAGAAATGCAAATCTTGAACTAACTCAATGGAATAGCATCAGTATATTGCATATCATGGAATTAACTGTGGTTGATGGTAAAATGGCAACAGCCTTATCAGTCGAGACCAATGCATCACATTCCTGCTCAGTGTATGGCAGTACACCAAAAGATATGAACAATATTGAAAAAATGGTAGCAAAAAATGAAAATGCAAACTACTCTGGTCTACAGTATGGCTTGTCATCATTACATGCATGGATTAGAACAATGGAATGCTGTCTTCACCTTGCTTTCAAATTTAATAACCAAAAGTGGCAGACATGTAGCACATAAGAAAAGTTATTTATGACGACAAACAAAAAAAGAATCCAAGATGCCTTGCAACTATCAAAATAGGTTGTTGCTATGTAAATTAGGTATCCATAAAACTAGGTAACCATGGCAACCAAAAAATAAATATCATCCTCAAACCTAATAATAATACACAAACTAATTATAATGTATATAACATGCAAACATCTACAACTACCAAGAAAAGGTTGTTGCTAAGTAAAATTAGGTATCCATAGCAACAAAATATAAAAATGACTTTCTTAAGAAGCGCAGACCTCATATAAGTATTTATGCCAAATTTAGTAAATATAGACCTAATATTTAATTAGTTATTACTTTTGTCCAATAAAAGTGAATTCTGTGCCACTGTGCATTGCTAAGAACATAAAATGGAATATATCGATATATAAAAATGTAAAAAATCACAACTTGCTAACTATGTAATTATTCTTAAGTTAATGTAAATACTTAAAATAATGTAAAAACTGGTGTTAAAAGACCTATTTATTACTTAAATTATTATTATATAATAAATATATACTAGTTATTTATTCTAATACTTATTATCTTAAAATGATTAAAAAATGATAAAATCCTCCGTCATTTAATATCCTAGAAAATTTTATAAATCCTATTAAGTTGTTTGTTGTGCATATCCCAACTGACATTGCTAAGAATTTAATTGGAAAATAAGGTTATTATAATTGGAAAATAAGTTCATTATTAGGATATTAAGTTCATACTAATTTTGCTGAGAATGTAAAACGAAAAATAAAGACATTAAAAAAATGTTTTACCGACCATTAAAATCATTTCTGAATTTTTTTTAATTTTTTTTTAGTTGAATAATCTTAGTCTGAATGAAGCTTTATGGAGCTGAAACACATTATGCTATATTTATGAAGCTGAAACACATGCTATATTGAAATAAAATTTATTCTCTACAATGAACAATGGAAAAAGTTTTTAACTTTTTGTTGCAATAATTTTAATTTTATAAAGTGAAAAAAGTAGTAAATAAACAGTCTTTAAAAAGCTACAATTTTAAAGCTAATATTTTAAACAGCTGTTGGCTGTTTTTGATTTTTCTTAACAGTTGTTTTACTTTTGAATAGTATTCAACAATACTATATCATACTATATATCTGTTTTTAATATAACATTTAATGGAAACCTAAATTCTAGGTTTTTTTTAATTATCAGAATATTGATCAGCTCTGCATCATGAATTTATAGGCAAACAAAAATTGTTTAACTTTTTGATACATGATTATTTATAATTGCTGAGCCTTACTTTTTGTGATGTTAGAATGAAGTTTTTAAAACTTATTTGTCAGTGTGAATACAACTACTTCCGGGAGTGACTAGCTCAGATTGATCTGTTGTCTTCTGTTGTTAGTAATCTATACAAGAATTGTTGTTTTCATCAATATCATTTTAAGAATACAATTCATTCAACTTTTTTTGAAAGCAGATGCTTGCTATCAGGTGGACACAGAAAAATCCGGTCAACTTTAAGTTGAGATTTCTCCAAAACCATAAATGCTTTTTATTTGAATTTTTTTTAATTATTAAATGTATTTATATAAATTAGAGTTTCAACCTAATTTTATGGGGCTTGATGGGCTGTTTAGCAAGAGAGCAAATTTTATAGCGGGTTAATGCCATCACTTCACAGATTTTTTTTTTTTTCATCTTATTAATGACATTAATCCACTTTTTTAGAAGTCCTTTTTCTTATTTGTTACTCCACCTGTCGTACGAAGAACTTCTTTAACTATTGCCCAAAAATCTTTAATCTTGCGCTCTTCAGGACAATTTGGAAGATTCGTATCTTTAAGAACAATTTTCACATTATTATCTTTGCACTTCTGTAGAACGTTTTTAGAATAGTGAGAAGCAGCAAGATCTGGCTGAAAGAAACATCAGTATTTGTGTTTTTTCATAAACTGCAAATGTCTTTTTTGGAGGCAGTCTTTGTTGTAGAGATCGACATTCAAGGTCTTCTTAGTGACAAAACAAGAAGACTGCATACCACAGCTACAAATTGCTTGCCACACAAGAAACTTGGATGCAAATTTTTCTTGTCGAATATATTTAAATTGATCGCCTTGCAATATGTTTTGTCGTCTTCAATTATGGACATACTTTTATCGGCCATTATTTTAACCAACTACTTTGCGCGTTGAATTCCTTTCGAAGCTTTAAGTAGTCTTGAACTTATTTATAATATCAATGTTTGTAAATTTTGGGACATTAGTACGTTTAGCAATCAAGCGATATGAAGTTGATGGATTTTTTCAAAAGAAATTCACAACTTATTAATTTGTTTGCATAAACATTTTACATATCATTGATTTGTAAACAAAAGTTTATCAACAAAATTAAAGATAAAGAAGTTACGTTTAATTAAAAAAATAAAAGAAATAAAAAGCATTTGTGGTTTTAGAGAAATCTCAATCTAAAGTTGACCGGATTTTTCCGTGTCCATCCAATATTTTCATTGCTAAAATAAAATTCAATAATTTTATTTACAGTGTTTGCTTTCTTTTCTATGAATCTTGTCATATCTAGAATATAATCTTCACACTCATCATAAAAATGAAAAAAAAGTTTTAATATATATTTTTCATTTTTAAAATGAATAAGCTTGTGTACCAAAAGTCATTAAAGTTTTTATTGGCTTGTTTGATGTGGAATGACCAATGATCTATTAAAATTTTCATTGGTTTATGTGATGTATAAAGACTAATGATCTACTTGGTGGCTTAACTAGAATGTCTAAAGAAATGAAAATTAATATGAGATTTAATTTTCTTGCTTAAAATAAAAAATCTAGAAACAACAGGTTTAAAGTGGTAGCTAAATTTAAACAGATCACCAAGTGGAGTTTTTTTTCTTGTTGTTACCCTCTTTTGGTATGCTCTCCTTTTTTTTTATTTTTTTTTCACAAGTACTAGAAATTTTCCCCTGCTTTTTATATATGACATTTTCTAGAAAGGTTTATAGGTAATCTGGTAATTAATTAACATAGGGTTGGTACCAATAAACAAATAATACAGTATTCTCTACTTATAATATAAAATCATCTTCCTTGCAATTAGTAAATTCTCTTTTGTAATAAAGTCTGTATTAAGTTTAGCGTTTCATTTACCAATTAATAAATTTACCAATTGATAAATTTGATCCGAAATTTATTATATAAATTTTGGATCAAATTTATCAATTGGTAAATTTATTTATTGGTATATATAGATTCATATAATATATAAAAATTATTTTTACATATTATATGAATCTATATAGTAGATTCATATAATATATAAAAAGTGCTATTAAAAAGCACTTTTTATATATTATATGTATCTACTATATAGTATATATATATATATATATATATATATATATATATATATATATATATATATATATACACATATATACACACACATAGTATATAGTGTGTATATATATACATATATATATATATATATATATATATATATATATATATATATATATATATATATATATATATATATTTATATATATATATATACACACACACATAGTATATAGTGTGTGTGTATATATATATATATATATATATATATATATATATATATATATATATATATATATATATATATATATATATATATATATATATATATATATATCTACTATATATATTTATACAATAAGAAAACAGTCTTTTTAACCCCCCCCCCCCCCATCCGTTCCCAGTGTTTTTGTTTCTGATAGTTATTATTTGAAATTATTAATTTCATTTTTGTTGTTGTTGGTATTTTTAATAGATTATAAGCTATATATCAGTTTTAAGTAATATTTACAATAATAATTTTATCAATTTTAAAAAACTATTTAGGTAGAAAATATGATTAAAGTATATCCAGTTTTTGTCAACTACTTCGAAATAATAAAAGAGACCATTATAAAATGTGACAAGGAAAAGCCACGTTTCCACGCTTTTCTAAAGGTAAATTTTTGTTAAAAAAAAGTTTAAAAAAAATGCTAGTTTTATAAATTATGCTAGTTTTATAAATTATGCTAGTTTCATTAATTACTATGTATGTACTATTATCATTAATGTATGTACTGATATCATTTGTATTTAATGTATGTGATGATAATATTAATTAGTTTGTATGTACTAATATCATTAAATACTATGTATATTCTGATATCATTAATTAAATACTATGTACTGATACCATTAATTAAACACTATGTATATACTGATATCATTAATTAGTATTTAATGTGTTATTAATTCATTAAAGAAAATGGCATTTTTAAAATATTTTTTACTCAAAAATTACAAATAATGGATAGTCATTTTAGATTAAATTTTTTTTTTTATGTTGTTTTCATTATTAATCAAATTAAAATAGGTTTTGATAAAATAAACTGTTTTTTAGAAAAATAAAAAAAACAAAACGAATAATAACGAGAAAAACTTTATTCTGTTATAACCGTCAATCTAGCCGCAACTCTCTTGCATGTTATCCCTAAATCAGTTGATGTATGGACTTATGCTTTCACAGCTTCCTAAATCAGTACGTCATCAGATCGCTAATATTTTTTAGCTATCTGATGACGTATTGTATATATATTGTCTATTTAAATACAATGCATGTCATTTTTTTACTTTTTTTTTTTTTTTGAATACTATTGACAGTTATGTTTTAAGAGTTATACATAGTGACATAAGTGTAAAATCTGTTCTTATTATTACTACATTAAATTCAATTATTTTGTTGAATTTTATAGCATACACAAAAAGTTTTTCAATAAGTTATATGTTATAGTGTGTAAAACCACAAATCCAGCACATTACTAACCATCGAGAGGTGATTCTAATTTGAAAGAAAAATAAAACACAAAAATTAATATTCTTTTAACAGTCCTGTGAGAGAGACTGTATAAGACAAGATGTGTCTTGTTGACTTTAGTATATCACAGGATACAAGATAAACATTATTTTTTTAAATTTTTGGTTTTATAAATGTAAATATAAATTGCATGAAAAAATACAACTAGCTATTGAGGCAATAATTTTTTTTAAATATTTCAAATAATAATAAATAAAAAACAAATTTCAGTATATAGTAGAGTAAAATGGGGTCAAATGGAATAGTTAAGGATTTTAATTATTAATTTTTTACAGAAAAAAGATTTTTTTTTTTTTTTTTAAAGTTGTATAGAGTATTGAGCTGTATTTAAATATATAAAATTTTAACAATTTTTTTGTAAAGTTTTTTATGAAACTTTATTTAATTAAAAAAATTTTTATTCCATTCTTCACTGACATTCGGGGAGAATTAAATACCCAAATATAAGTGTAATTAAAACAACACTTTATTAAAAAAACAAAAAAGCAATCAATAATAACAATTAAAAAAACAATCAATAATAACTATTATAATAATCAATAAAAATACTATATAATTAAAAAAATCAATCAAATAAAATAAACTTTTTTATTCTTGTGATGATGTTGAGCCGTTTAAAGGTACTAGAGATTGAGTTGAGTTTTCACTTGTGCGACACTTTGTAGCAATAAAACTCAGCGCCTTTTATGTATCGCTTTGGTATGCAGTTTGACATAGCCAAACCTTGCAATTTGAATTTTCACACTGGTGCCATTCCATATTTTGACTTGCTGAAATTTCGCCTAAAACTTTTCGGCACTTTTTACACTTGAATTAAAGCAGCTAATATTTTCGTTGGACTTGTTGCTTGGTTTAGTTGCTGTTCTCTATTAGCTTAGGTTGTTTTTTAGCTTGCTTTACTGCTTTTTTGCTCTCAGCATTTTTCAACCTTTCAAGTATTTCAGGTTTGTTGAGACACTCCCCTTCTAATCTTGGCACATCTACATTTTTTCTTTTTTTTGTGTCAACGTGTTGAATACAAAACATTTGTTGCAAAGCTCCTGCAAGTGATTGGGCTGATTGCAGCTGTTTTGCAACCTCTTTTTGAATTTCCTTTTGAATAGGCGGACTTACTACAATATTGAAGGTTGTTTGCAGACAAGGTGACTTTTGAGATGATTTTGGAGCTGATGCTATGTGACATATGCTGATGCTAGATGTTGGTAGTGTAGTTCCTGGTGCTAGATTTGGTGACGGCACTATCGTAGATTTTGGTTGTTGAGATTTTGAAGGCTCAGGTTCAGATCTCGGTGTTTCAAATATATTAGAAATTTGCAACTTTGACTGATCGATTTTATCGATGTTGAGTTTCCACTCAGCATTCTAAAACTCAGTGACTATCTGGGTTGAGTTTCCACAAGCCAGTATTCTGAAACTCAGTGACTATCTGGGTACGTGTAAAAACTTTACCAGAGCTGAAAAGTTTTTTTTTCAGGTGACTGAAGCATTCTTTTAATAAGTTGCTAAACTTTGTCATTGCATAAAACTGTTGAAGTAATTTGCGCCTAACTATTTTGATATGGCAATAAACACCAACATCTAGTGGCTGTAGAATGTGCGATGAGTGAGCTAGTAAGCAAATTAACAAGAAAGTAACTAGTGAATTTCATTTATTTATTAGAACCATTTTATAAAAGCAGTAAGTAAAAGTCATTTAAATTCAGTTAGAAAAATTTCTTCATTGAAATTTATACAAAAAATTTATAGTTGTAGATTTATTGGTCACTTGAGACCTAATAAAAAAAAGCCGTTTTTAAGAAATAAGCTATTGCTTCGTATTTATTTATTTATTAGCGTATTTCATTCAACCCCGCAACACTCAGTTTCCGTTTCTAACTCATAACATTTTTTCCTAAATAGCAAATTTAATTTTGAAAAAAGATTCTTGATCAGCGTAAAAGGTTGTATCAGTAAACATTTTAAGTTCATTGATACCGAATTTAATTTCCGAGAGTTTTAAATTCCCTTTTCAAACAAATAAAAAAATCTTATTACACATTTGAAAACTTATAAATTTATAACAAAATTTTTTTAATTAAAAATAAAATTTTATACAATCTTACTCAAAAAAAATAGTCTCTACAATATAATCAAAATATTTTTACAAAAAAATTATTCAATAGTTAATTAAAAGCGAAAGAATAAAAATTGTCATAACTATTTTGTTCTACTCACTATTTCATTTTCACCCTGTTAATATAACATTTTACCCTGTTTTACTCTATATAATATAACATTTTACCCCTGTTTTACTCTATATAATATATATAACATTTTACCCTGTTTTACTCTATATAATATAACATTTTACCCCTGTTTTACTCTATATAATATATATAACATTTTACCCCTGTTTTACTCTATATAATATATATAACATTTTACCCCTGTTTTACTCTATATAATATATATAACATTTTACCCCTGTTTTACTCTATATAATATATATAACATTTTACCCCTGTTTTACTCTATATAATATATATAACATTTTACCCCTGTTTTACTCTATATAATATATATAACATTTTACCCCTGTTTTACTCTATATAATATATATAACATTTTACCCCTGTTTTACTCTATATAATATATATAACATTTTCACCCTGTTTTACTCTATATAATATATATAACATTTTACCCCTGTTTTACTCTATATAATATATATAACATTTTACCCCTGTTTTACTCTATATAATATATATAACATTTTACCCCTGTTTTACTCTATATAATATATATAACATTTTACCCCTGTTTTACTCTATATAATATATATAACATTTTACCCCTGTTTTACTCTATATAATATATATAACATTTTACCCCTGTTTTACTCTATATAATATATATAACATTTTACCCCTGTTTTACTCTATATAATATATATAACATTTTACCCCTGTTTTACTCTATATAATATATATAACATTTTCACCCTGTTTTACTCTATATAATATATATAACATTTTACCCCTGTTTTACTCTATATAATATATATAACATTTTACCCCTGTTTTACTCTATATAATATATATAACATTTTACCCCTGTTTTACTCTATATAATATATATAACATTTTACCCCTGTTTTACTCTATATAATATATATAACATTTTACCCCTGTTTTACTCTATATAATATATATAACATTTTACCCCTGTTTTACTCTATATAATATATATAACATTTTACCCCTGTTTTACTCTATATAATATATATAACATTTTACCCCTGTTTTACTCTATATAATATATATAACATTTTACCCCTGTTTTACTCTATATAATATATATAACATTTTACCCCTGTTTTACTCTATATAATATATATAACATTTTACCCCTGTTTTACTCTATATAATATATATAACATTTTACCCCTGTTTTACTCTATATAATATATATAACATTTTACCCCTGTTTTACTCTATATAATATATATAACATTTTACCCCTGTTTTACTCTATATAATATATATAACATTTTACCCCTGTTTTACTCTATATAATATATATAACATTTTACCCCTGTTTTACTCTATATAATATATATAACATTTTACCCCTGTTTTACTCTATATAATATATATAACATTTTACCCCTGTTTTACTCTATATAATATATATAACATTTTACCCCTGTTTTACTCTATATAATATATATAACATTTTACCCCTGTTTTACTCTATATAATATATATAACATTTTCACCCTGTTTTACTCTATATAATATATATAACATTTTACCCCTGTTTTACTCTATATAATATATATAACATTTTACCCCTGTTTTACTCTATATAATATATATAACATTTTCACCCTGTTTTACTCTATATAATATATATAACATTTTACCCCTGTTTTACTCTATATAATATATATAACATTTTACCCCTGTTTTACTCTATATAATATATATAACATTTTACCCCTGTTTTACTCTATATAATATATATAACATTTTACCCCTGTTTTACTCTATATAATATATATAACATTTTACCCCTGTTTTACTCTATATAATATATATAACAT